AACCCTAAACTCGATGGGTAAAATAGTAAATGGAGAAGAAAAACATACGCAGAACATAGGACGCGGGATAAGGCTTGAGGTCGCGAGGAAGAAGAAAAACCACCGCGGGTTACAACGTGATGCATATGAAAGCATGAATCAAACGCCCAATTCGTAAAATCGGTTTTGAAAGACGCCGGAAAATCCCAAATAAACATACTCTAAGTCGAGGGTGGCTCGAGCTCGATTCGACTTTTTTACGCTACTTACAACCATGCACTACAAGCATGGGAACCAACTAGAGAGCAAATAAGGCTTGATGGATTTAAGTTTAACCATTAAAAAAAACTTTGAATTTTTCAAAATATTAATTTATCTTTCAAAATATTTACAAGCTATTTGGAGTAAATGAATTTGAATTCATTTTGAGTTAGTGACTTTATATTGAAATATTTAGCTCGTTAGTAGAGCCGCATGCAAGCATATTAATTTTGACAAGTTAATAGATCTTTAAAAGGCATGCATGCCTTTTGATCTGTATGAACAATATTTAATATGGTCATGTGCATTTGCGCAGTTTTAGCGCATTTACATGGCATAATCGTACACATTTTTGTGGACTTACATAATACACTTGCACTTTATCGATGCACATACCCAATATATTTGCATAATTTTCAAAATACCAATGTCAATTTTGAAATGTTATAACTTAGTTGAAGATTTCCTCGTAAAACTCAATTAAAACCTAAAATTACTTGATTTGTACAAATATTTTATCATTATAATGCATGCAGTATTTCATTTTGAATTTTTTAATGTTGGCTTTCCGTATGCTTATACACATGAATTGTAGATTTGGTGATAACTTTTTTTGTAATTTAGATTCTTATTACACATTCAAAGCAATGTTATTTTGCCTTGATACTAGAATTAACCTAAATAACAATAAGAAAACAAATATTATTACTTTAGAAACCAACAGGTGGTTATTAGAAATATACTTGAGGGGAAAAACAATAGACACAACACATAAACTGAAACGAGCTCAGGAATCACCTAGATCCCACAAACAATTGCACTATCCCCCAAAATACTTGAGGATCTTCCTCCAATTGCAAGCATATATCCATATTGATCCAACCTTCTAGGAGCACACTGATGAACTAAACTAAAACTCTGTGTCATGTATATTCTATTGAATACTCCCAAACTAATTTAAGGTTTGTTCAACCTGATCTGAAGTGAGGGCAGCCTAAAACTCGCAAAACGGTGTCGGTCATAGTGATAAGTTATCAAGCATGATGTCTTAAGAATATATCTACAGTAATTATCTTGTGTCTAAAACCTACTCTTCTGTCTTGCTATCCCCTGTCACCTCTAAAACGGATCCTAGTGGAGCTTATCTGCTGGTAAGGGCAACTATAATCTCAGATTCCGCATAAAGTAGGAATATGCATTTGCCATCTTTGGTGAAAAGTAGATGTTCCTTAACTCAACATACCGAGTTTGGTGATCAAACTACTACAGTCTCCGAGCAGAAGGTGACAGACATCCATGAGTATTGCGCCGCACCAAACCTGATCCTGCAGCTAATTCCCAATCGAGAACTCCACAAGACATCTACTGTCAATGTTGACTTTGTTTTTCTTATTCAATACGTGAGGGAGTACGACTAGGAGTGCCTTTGAGTCGTGAGGCTTAACTTGTCTTCCATTTGTGTCAGCACCACATTCTTGTTGCTCCCTCAATCAAAGATGAGACTACATACTATTCCCTTCACAGTGCAACAGGTGTAGAATATGTCATGGCAAAGCGACTGTTGATCCCTCGTAGCCTTAGTTCATCCTCGTCGAATAACTAGTATCTCGCCCTCATATGGTGAAACTTGATACGCCTCAGCCTATTCTTCAACTGTCTCTTCATCGATCATTTCATACACTACACCCAACTTGGTGAAGAATGCAACTTGGCTTGATGGGCAACTGAAAGCGATGTGTCCAAAATAATGGCATTTGAAATATTTTCTGGTTGGTAATGTATTGTGGGTGTTGTAATTCTCAGGCTTCTTCTCACCATGTTGTCGCTAGGGGATTTCTGGCATCCCAAGTATATGGCTATTATGTGCTCTTTTGGCCCCATCATATCACATTTCAGCTTAAGATGCATAAACTTTGTTGTGTACTCCTCCATTGATAAGTCCCTCTTTTGTATGTCGTGGAGGCTCAAGAAAAGGTTATGAAGGTAGTGTGAGGATGGGTACTGCCGCTGCAACTCTCTCTTCAACATCTTCCAAACATAATCTTGTTATGTCCATTTCTATTTATCTCCTTCAAGTTCTCCCACCACATCAGAGCGCCCTTATTTAGCTTGATAGAAGAAAACACCAATTTTCAATCATCTAACACATCTTTATATTCAAAGACGCTCGACAGTCTGCTGCCACTCTATGAAGTCATTCAAACTCATCCTCCCCTCAAAATCTGGTATGCTCACTTTCACTCTCGTTCTCTGTATCTTCCAACAGGCACTTCATCTTTGTATCATCCAATAGGTACTTCATCTCTGTATCCTCTAACATGCACTTCATTTTTGTATCTTCTTAAGGCACTTCATCTATGCATCCTCTAATAGGCACTTCATCTATGTATCCTCTAACAGGCACTTCATTTTTTTATTTTCTTAACACAAACAATTAATATAATTGCAAAACCCAATAGGAACCTGAAAGGAGAAAACAACAGACACAACACAAACTAAAACTCAGGTTAGGTCCGGGTGGTGGTGATCGGTTACGGAGGTGGGAAAGGATGGATACTACTGAAATGAAGATATGGAGTGCTGGTGTGAGGCAACATCAACACAATGATGGTGATGGGTTGATGTTTAGATGAGGGCAAAAATTATGGAAGGATTGGACTGCATAAAGGCAAAATGCGGGTTGCCCTCGGAATGACAGCAGCGAGAAGGGTTGGCAGGAAGGGACAACAGGTTGGGATAGTGGAGAGGTGGGAAGCGACTAGAAATGGGAAGATTGGAGCGGCAACAAGGCCAGAAGGTGAAAGGGAGACGGCAAGAAGGTGGATGACTGGAGGGACACAATGGGAGAGACTATTCTTGAGTGGTTGCAGTGGGGAAGGAGTTGCGGCAGCAAAGAATGGATCGGGGGTGGAATCGGATATAATTCACAACCTCGGAGCAAAATACAGTCGAAGCACCACTCGTCCTCGGATATAGCCCTAGAAGGCAAAAAAAGGGAGGGCAGTGTTTGTCCTAATATAAACAAAATAAAAAATTGCCCTAAAATACAAAAATAACGTATTTAAGGACTCAAGGTAAAAAGTAATCAACCCAGCTGCAAAAAAGAGAAAAAACCATGCTTCGAAGGACTGGTCGATCTCTCCTTTGCATGGACCAAACTAGTCCAAGGCTAAGATCGTAGCATTTGCCACTTTTGAGGCATGGACACCCCGCTTCATGCCTACATTGAGTCCTCATTTCACCAAGTCTGAATGTTAAATGAGATTTTGTTTGTGCTCGCAATTTGTTGAGCACTATAAATTCTTTCATGTACATTTGTTTTGTAAAATGATAAGTATTGTATTTTTATTTAAAGTGTTCAATTTAAAAAAAATAAAAATTGATTCTTTCTTCTTTTAGTCGTCACTTCAAGTCTAGGAGTCCACATAATTTTAGCCTTGCACTTGTCCTATGCAAATTCTTTTATTTAAAATTTTGGTAATCTCTTGACATTCCACCACACAAGTCAACAACTTGGTGTCTGAGATACTCAGTGCGCTACAAAAATCACGCATGGTTGCTGTTGTAGAACACCAAGGTTATGGTTTCTATCCTACCATAAAAAAAATGTGCATGGATCCTAATATGCTTGCATAAATGTGTAGAATGAATTCCCCCCGCCCTCCCCCAGTTGAATGACACAAAGGAGTACTTAAATTTGAATTTATATGTCGTGATAGCAAATGTGCGCATAAGCTTGCCCATTGCATTACAAGCGGCACTCACGCTAGTTGTGTCAAACACATTACAATCAAGATTTTAGGAATTTTTGTGGTCAAAATTTTTATACATTTCTGTGCGGAGTCAACCACAACAAGTGAAAATTTGTGAGAGCAAGAATACATAATTTTTCCTTCTTTTCATTCTTCCTTTCTTTTTCTTTACTTTTCTTGTTTTTATTTGTCTTCTTTTTTTCTCTTTTATTTTCCTTTTTTTAAGAGAGAGGAAAAGTCATAGAAAAAGGGAGAGGGGTGGTCAGCTATGGTGGTCAAGGACGAAGAACATGGGTGAGCTCTTAACAATGGCTGTTAAGGTGCTCGTAAAGGTGGCAATTAGACAGGGTGGTCGGTAAAGACGATGATAAAAGCAGTTAAGGTGGTTTTTGGATTGAGGAAGGAAACAGAGTTGGTGGAGATATTAGATGCGGTTTGCAAGGATAAAAAGAGTAGCTGGGGACAGTGAGTATAAGTTTGTTGATAGATGAAGGCCTCAATGATAGGTTAATACATAAGAATTGTGTGGTTATGTATGTAATATTCCCAAATTTTTCTTAGCCTAAGCCAGAAGCTATGCAAGTATTATACGTCTACATTGTGCCGTTAAAAATATCATCACCAAAGATTCCATCATTTCCCGTCTTTATGATGAATCTAAAATGCAATATAATATGTACCTGCTGCAATAGTTACAAGCATACATTTTATTAATCTCTTCATTTCTCTAACGTTGCATTTAAGCAAATTCCAAACTCATCTATTAGGAGTGATACTTTGTACAAATAGCATGCAAGAATGCATTTTTCTTCGGCGTCAAATGCATGAACATCCAACATATAAAAAAATAATCTTATATTTTTACCTTAGCTATCAATGCTCCATAGTAGTCAAATACATTAATGAGTGAAAATTTCATCAATACGAGCAATAAAAGAAAACAAAGCAAAAAAGTATAATCATTTATAATATACGTGCAGCAATTTAACACACAACCATTCAGTTTACCTGTGTAACATTTGTCCTGTCTAAACAATCAATGCAATTCGTTCTTACAACACCTGTTTGTTCCTGGACCTTCTCACCTTCAACTTCTAAGAGAAAGTACCTGCATTGTCCCACAAAGACGTAAACACATGGCAATTGCCCAAGTATAACCTATAATAATAAATGTCAGCAAATAAGCCGAATTATGAGCAAAGGAACTATCAAAATTTGGCCAGTTAAAAATGGGATTTCACACAACAAAGAATAAGAATAACTCAAGTTTAACAACTATATAAAAAAAATGAAATTTGACAGGCAAGTTTGAGTGAAAACCGTATTGATGGTTTTGTATCAGATAGAAGATATAAAGAGAAGTAGAAAGGGAGGGGGAATGTTTCAAACCCAAGAGTATTTGTGTGTGTCTAGGGCAAGGGAAGAAGGGAGCATGTGTGCTTAGGAGAAAGAACGATGACGCCGAAGTTCTGTGTGCGGGTGACCTAAAGCGAAGAAGAAGAAAAAGAGGAGGAAAAAGGTGCCCCGAAGGTAGGTAGCCTCGTTGACCTATGCGTCTGTGCAGCAAGAGGAGGAAGGGAAAGGAGAAGAGAGGAGGTTGCTCGATGGCTGCTTGTGTGCGGGGGATGGAGGCGATCCTTCAAAGCACTAAGAGTGCATGCAGGGAAGGAGCACACGCGACCCGCGTGTAAAAAAGAGGCGAAGGAGCAAAACAAGTGACTCAATCAATACTCTTCCTCTTTGCAACTTCTCTTTTATATTTCAAGATTTATAAAAAAAAGACTCGATCAAGAAGCATTTTAATGATGATGGGATTTGTCTTCTTAAAGGAAAAATTTGCAAAACTAATAAATTTAGTGGTTTTAACATGCTTAATATATAGGGGATTTTACAAACATAGCACTCAAAACTTACTTAGTAACATATTTCACATCCAAACTTCTATATTTACCCAAAAAAAAGTATTTGTTTCTAAGTTCAGTTAAGTATTCCGTTGGGGAACTCCATCGGGGGCTCTTGCTCCACAGAGATTGTCTCAGCAGCAAGGTGGTGATCGGTCAGAGCAATGTCGTGGAGGTAAAGGAAGACGAGTTGGAGTAGATGGGTTCCGGGAAAGGAGTAGCAGCAGTTGCGAAGGAAATGGGTTCTTCAATTCAGACGAGAGAGCATGGGGGATGTTTCTTGTCGCTTTGGCTCAAGAGGAGTGACTAGATGGAGGAATGGTAGGGGAGTTGTTGCGTGAGGTTTTGTGAGAGGCTGAGAGATGGAGAGGAATTGCGAGAGAAACCAGAAAAAAAAATAGATAAGTCGGTTGTTTGGCATGAGGGAGAGAGGAATACGTAGGTGGAGAAGCGTGGGTTTGGCATTATTTCTTCATTTCCAAATCTTCGCAGCCCCAGTTCTTCATTATGGCTATTTCTGGACTTTTAACTCTCATCTCTACTCTCTTGTTGGATAATATAATTTCATCCAAAATCTTTCCTTTTTATTTAGGTGATCCTAGGAGGGCATCTTGGGAATCTCAGTGAAAGAGAAGGTTGTTGCCGAGAGCATCTCGCCAGAGCAGGAGCCTACGATGGAATTCCACAGCAGATCTATAACAAAGCTTAGAAAAAGTACTTTTTTATAATATAGAACTTTGGGTGAAATATGTTAATATGTAAATTTTCAGTGCTATGTATGTAGAAACCGCTAATATGTAATGTTCGGTTTGATTCTTTGGTAACGCTACCATTACAAACATTCGAATAACACTCTAATAAGAAAGACGAGGAGTGAAGATGCAAAATAAGTGCTTCCGTGAGCAAGAGGAGATCGAGAAAAAGAAGAGGTTAGAGAGCTTTTCTAGATGAACTCGACTGAGCATCGCAATTATCAAGTGAAGACAACGATACTGTCAATTGAACTCGCGAGTGTCAAAGCAATGAGGAGTGAAGAAGATGAGGGTTCGACTCTAGTGTGGGAGTGGCGACATTGTAGAGCCAAAGTTGAGGCCTAGAGAGCATTGTCGCTTCCCGTAAAAGTGAAGCTGTGTATGGGGGAGCCACTATATGCAAAGAGAAAGAAGAGAATGGGATGAATTGCATGTGAGGGATAGAGCGGCTTTGCCATGTACGAGTGGTTCCGGGAGAAGATGAGAGCCGCGTGCTGGAGAGCCAAACCAAGCCGATTAGCAGTGGGGAAAGAGGCTTTGGGTACAGGAAAGGATCGCATGTGGGATAAGGGAGGTCGAACCAAGCAAAGTAAGGTAAAATAAGGGTTTTCTTATTCAAGATATTTGTATACATTTAATTGATATATATACACTTAGCGACTTAATATGAATTTATGCTAATCGAAATCAAAAAAAATTTAAGAAAGAAATATTTGAATTTGAGATTGAGGAGTGGATCACCTCGACGGGAAAATGTATAAGTTAATTGAAGTTAAAGTTTACTTTATTTAAGTTAAATTTAATGTAATTAACATATTAATATTATATTACATTATTTTATAACAGCAATTAAGATCAAAGAACATTTAATCCTAAAGTACTTGGAGTAGGATCGTAAAGGCGTTGGAGGAGAAAAAAAAATAATAAGGTTAGTCTTATTTAAATTTTATTTATAATCAATTTAATGTTAACTTAATAGTTGTTAATATTCAAAATTTTTATCAACCATAATCAAGTAAGTTGATTAAAAGAATTGAAGGGAATCGTCGATTTGGTAGAAGAAAAAAAGAAGTCGGATAGGTGAACTCTAATTTTGAATTTTTCTTTAAAAAATAAATAAACACCTCAAGTTTAGAGCGTAATAAATTATTGGTTGTGATGATTGGAAGTAATTCTTTAATATGTATTAATTATATAAAAATATAATGATGTTAGGTATTACAACAAGAAAATAAAATTTCAAGGATAAATAGAAAAGCAAAGTTACAGTAAATAATTATATTTCTAAATAAAAGTTATATTTTTTTACTTCTGAATAAATTATTGATTTCATTTGTCATATTTATGCTTATATGAGTGAGACATAGATTACATATGATTTTTATATTATTATGTATGAAACATACATGTTAACATTTCTGCATGAATGATTGCACAATGATTTTTCTAAAAGACATTACTTTTTTACATGATCTTTAGATTATAAAAATAATAAGCGTCTCATAAGAAAATAATGAATTCTTTTAAGAATGAAAGAAGAATATTGTATACATGAAGGATTGTAGATGCATGCTAAGAGGAATTCACCCCCTTATGATAATGGTTAGGGACGTCAATGTACTCGTGTGCGTAGATATTTTTCTGCGACCCAGATAATCATGAACATTAAAACACGAACTGTTTTGCCGACAAGAGGATATCCGTCAGAGTTAGCATTCCACCTCCGATAATAGTAGACTTGGTTTATACCCTGCTGTGACAACTGGGTATGTATCGACCAGAGGTGAGTTAGGTAATCTTTAAATGGTGCTCTCGAGATAGATGCACAAGTTAAGTATAAGATGTAAATTAAAAAAAAAGTTTAAATCTTGCAAAGTAAAGTAAAAATTAATGCATATTAAATTTTTATATTTCTTCTATTAGAAAATGTCATGTATACAAGATTTATATTATTATATGATTTTCTAAAATATATTAGAAAAAACTCAACATATGTATTGTCTTTTCTTCTTAGGGTTACTGCAATTTTGGAGTGTAATTATTTCATCGGGTTATCTTGGATAACTCATTATATAGTTTAACAATTTTCAGATTTAAACTTTGGAATAAAACATGAGTACTTGAAGAGAGTGAACAAAAGGTGAGAACAGCAAGTAGAAAGGTAAATTTCTTATTTGTTCGATTAAATTTTAAATCACTAGTGCCTCTTTTTTTACTTTGTATATAGAATGAATATTTAAATTTGATTTTCACTATCCAACCGTCTATTCCTACTTTCAAAATTTTGAACCCTAGGATGGGTCGTGACATAATATGATATGATTCAACATCTCTCTTCATTTGAAATGGGTTTAGAAATCTATCAATAATGTAGATTCTTATTATTTTTATAAAATTTTCAAGGAAAGATATTTGAAGACTAGATCTTTTGAATTTTTTAGAAATAACATTACAGTGTGTTCTAGCTCCATGAAGGTTTAGAAGAATAATTCAATTCTTCTTACTTAACAATTCTTGAAATGTTAATAACATCAACTCCATTTGATTTTGGAAAGATAAATGGCAGCAAGACATTCCTTTATCTATTGTTCTTAAAGCCCATTTTTAAAGAATTTGTGTAATGGAAAGTAATATAATAGAAAACTTGTACATTAATAAGTTTGATCATAAGAAACCTAATTAGAAGAGATCTAAATACAAGATCATTGCTCTATCAAAAATATTCCTAATCTATAAAAATTGGTAGTGTATATATCTATACGTAACATGTCTTTAATGGGAATAAGAAGGAAGTCCTTTCCATTACATGGTATCAGGGCTTTCTTGAATTGCTCATCTTTGCCTTCGCTTATGTCATGTGTGTCGTCTCCTTTTGGCTTTTTTGGCTTCATCGACAGCTTTGTTTGCTTCCTAAGAAGTGGTAATCAACTTCCAGCAATGAAATTGTCGACGTTTTCACCTACTCAGTTCGACATTTTCGTCTACTTAGGTCGACATCTTTGCCTACTTAGTACTTAGGTCGACATCTTTGCGTCGACATCTTTGCCTACTTAGGTCGACATCTTTGCCTACTTAGGTCGACGTCTTCAACTGCTTCCTACGACGGCGTCGTCTGCATCCTTAAGAGTAGGTCTACTACTTCGATTTCAATAAAGGCGTGGTCTGCTTCGTGTGATTGTTCCTCTGCGTTGAATAGTGCCATATGCATCAACTTCACTTTCGATTTTGTCTGGTTTGTCTGCCCTCTCTGCATCGATGAGATTGGGGCACTGACAAAGTCATCTTCTACTCGATCGACGTCGTCGGATTTGTGCTCTACTTTATGTATGTTTGGTCTACATCTATTTTCTTCGATTGTTGGGAACAATATTTTTTTTTATTTGGAGATCGTTGAACAGTGGGTCGGGGAGTTAATTGTGTCAGAGCGTTTAGGCAAATCGTCCTTTAGTACTAAA